TTTCTTCTTATGTCTGGGTACCTCTTCTGCTTACTCCTCTCACCGATCCCCCAAGGAAAATCAGGAAGAAGAAAAGACCATAGCGTGATACCGTAGTAATTTCTCCTCAAAGTAATCTCTCCAGACCACTCACATTCTTTTGCGGGATATAACCGCCTTTTATTCAAAACAACAATAATTTTCTTCCAAAATGATCCACTTTTCAAGTACACCAACTTTTTTATAAGAGACCCCACAGCCTCGTGTGCAGCAGGATGGCAGACCTCAGCTACAGACTCATCTGCTAAGCTAAGATGGCCCCTTGGAACGCACCGCTCAGCGTGCGCTCCACTCACCGGAAATGACGTCAGACGACGGAACAGGCAACCGGAAGTGCGTCAACGCGTTTCGCCTCACCCACAGGGCGTTTTCATTGATAAAAGTTTTTTGGTTTTTGTACCTGTGCACAGCAGCATCTCACGGGGATTTTGTATGGTTAATAGGAGAGTCCTGGGCGCTGAGGTTTTGTTTTCTTTATATATTGTGGAGATATTTGACTGCAATATTGGAACATTTGAGAAGTATGGAATTTTGACAAGTACATGGTTGCCAACTGTCATTGATTGCCCGAGACAGTCAGGAATCTTTGAATGATGTCCTGCCATGTCTCAGTCCAGGGCCAGTGTCCCAGAAATCTGAAATTAGGGTGGGGGGCAGCGGCAGATAGATAGGTAGGCCTGGAGCAAATAAATAAATAAGCGCAGGGTCAACATGAGTAGGGGGGAATAGAGGGACAACAGAGGATTAAATTATGGGAAGGAAGTTTGGGGGATTAAGGCTTACCTTTTTGAATGAGGGATGTTGGGGAGGGTCTTCCAGGGAGGAAAAGGAGGGTCTGTCCTCAGGAAGTCCAGCGGGGGAAATTTGGAAGAAGAAGAAGCTTACCACCCTCCCTCCCTCCCCTTCGTGCTTTGGTTTGGATTGTCACGGTGGCCTTGGCGGTGGTTGGTCTTTGGAGGAGGAAAGAATTCTGTATGGAGACAGATTCGGGACCCATCAGTGGTATGGGGACCTTGGTAAATTCCAGTTAACAAGGGGTTAACTCGGAATAGGTAAAATGGTGGTCACTGTGGATAAGTAGGATTGTCCCCGAGCTGGTGTGTTGTGGCTGGGAATAAGTAGGATTGTCCCCAAACCATTTTTTTTTGCGGCTGGGGATAAGTAGGAATGTCCCCAAACCGGTGTGTTGTGGATGGGGATAAGTAGGATTGTCCCGAGCCGGTGTGTTGCGGCTGGGGATAAGTAGGATTGTCCCCGAGCTGGTGTGTTGTGGCTGGGGATAAAGAGGGATTGTCCCCGAGCCGGTGTGTTGCAGCTGGGGATAAGTAGGATTGCCCCCGAGCCGGTGTGTTGCGGATGGGGATAAGTAGGATTGTCCCCAAACCGGGGTGTTGCGGCTCGGGATAAGTAGGATTGTCCCCAAACCGGGGTGTTGCGGCTCGGGATAAGTAGGATTGTCCCCGAGCCGGTGGGTTGCGGCTGGGGATAAGTAGGATTGCCCTTGAGCTGGTGGGTTGTTGCGGCTGGGGGATAAGTAGGATTGCCCTCAAGCCGGTGGGTTGTGGCTGGGGATAAGTAGGATTGTCCCCGAGCCGGTGGGTTGCGGCTGAGGATAAGTAGGATTGTCCCCGAGCCGGTGGGTTGTGGCTGGGGATAAGTAGGATTGTCCCCGAGCCGGAGGGTTGCGGCTGGGGATAAGTAGGATTGTCCCCGAGCCGGTGGGTTGCGGCTGGGGATAAGTAGGATTGTCCCCGAGCCGGTGGGTTGTGGCTGGGGATAAGTAGGATTGTCCCCGAGCCGGAGGGTTGCGGCTGGGGATAAGTAGGATTGTCCCCGAGCCGGTGGGTTGCGGCTGGGGATAAGTAGGATTGTCCCCGAGCCGGTGGGTTGCGGCTGAGGATAAGTAGGATTGTCCCCGAGCCGGTGGGTTGTGGCTGGGGATAAGTAGGATTGTCCCCGAGCCGGGAGCCGGTGAGTTGTGTGGCTGGGGATAAGTAGGATTGTCCCCGAGCCGGTGGGTTGTGGCTGGCTGGGGATAAGTAGGATTGTCCCCGAGCCGGAGGGTTGCGGCTGGGGATAAGTAGGATTGTCCCCGAGCCGGTGGGTTGCGGCTGGGGATAAGTAGGATTGTCCCCGAGCCGGTGGGTTGCGGCTGAGGATAAGTAGGATTGTCCCCGAGCCGGTGGGTTGTGGCTGGGGATAAGTAGGATTGTCCCCGAGCCGGGAGCCGGTGGGTTGTGGCTGGGGATAAGTAGGATTGTCCCCAAGCCGGTGGGTTGTGGCTGGGGGCCTAAATTGAAGGAATGTTTTCCGCAAAAGTGAAGTTGGGTTTATGGTGCTCAAAAGACCACCAGCAATTTTTGCTCTCTTTGCATCTCCACCTCAGGGGGGGGGAGAGATCATGATGGCTAAGGGTCTCTCTCTCTGTTTTGTTTGGGGGGGGGAGGAATCATCAGCAGCCAGTTAGGATCTCTATCTTTTGGGGATGGCTCTCAGGCATCTCCATTCTACACACACATCCATCGAGTCATCTCCATCCTACACACACCTCCATCCAGTCATCTCCATCCTACACACACCTCCATCCAGTCATCTCCATCATACACACCTCCATCCTGCACACACCTCCATCCAGTCATCTCCATCATACACACCTCCATCCTACACATACACCTCCATCCAGTCATCTCCATCATACACACCTCCATCCTACACACACACCTCCATTCAGTCATCTCTATCATACACACCTCCATCCTGCACACACCTCCATCCAGTCATCTCCATCCTACACACACCTCCATCCAGTCATCTCCATCATACACACCTCCATCCTACACACACACCTCCATCCAGTCATCTCCATCATACACACCTCCATCCTACACACACACCTCCATTCAGTCATCTCTATCATACACACCTCCATCCTGCACACACCTCCATCCAGTCATCTCCATCATACACACCTCCATCCAGTCATCTCCATCATACACACCTACATCCTACACACAACTCCATCCAGTCATCTCCATCCTACACACACACACATAGTCATCTCCATCCTGCATACATACACCTCCATCCTGTTATCTCCATCCTGCACACAGTCATCTCTATCATGCATACACATACACCTCCATCCTGCACACACAGTCATCTCCATCCTGCATACACACTCACCCCCATCATCTCGTCCTGCATACACACACACAGTCATCTCCATCCTCCCTCGTTCTGCACTGTACACTCCCTATTTAACACCACATTCTGCACTATGTAAGTAGTCTCAAACTCTATTTAACCACACCCCCTTTAAACTACGCCCACTTTTTACCATGACCACAACCACGCCCATAATTAAAGTAATGCCCCGCCTACAGAGGCTTTCCCGCCACACAGAAAAGAAAGCGTCCCCAAAAACTTTTTTCAAATGTTGGCAACTATGCAAGTACATGGTTGAGAGGGATGAATACTGGGCAGGAACGTGTGAAGATGGGAAGGATTGGACTGGTATGGATGCTATTAATAATGAAGGAGCAGCTGCAGTTTTGAAATACTGGAGTTTGGTTGGGAGTAGGTGAAATGGAAGACTTGGCAGTGAGGTCCTATAATGAAAGGAAATTTAGTGAACCAAATGTATACAGTATATGACAAAGAGAACAAAGCTGTGATGTAGAACAAATGCCAACAGATCTCATAACAGCTGAGTGGTTCTAGACATGGGTGCCTCTGAAATGAGTCCCAGGCAGCTAGTATTCATAAACTGCACCTAATATTACTACAAGGACTGCATATCAAGGCTGGCTGGGAAAACCTGTCCTGTCACTCTAATGCCTTGAAATGTATTTACAGTGTCCATTGTATCTGTCAGGTATGAGGGTGAGGTAATAGCTTATCAGTGTTCTTTATTGTATATGGAAACCCTATCCCTTAACTTCTCTTATTTGGTCCTTTTCTGGTCTGTTAAATATATCATCAGAAGTGATAGAAGTTTTGTTATATCAGTTTGATAGAATACTTATTAATTCTCCCAGAAATCTTGTTAGCTGATAACTTCGCTTGCCCTCTACCTGTGCTGATTTTTATCACCTATCTCTGAGGACTACACAACCACAACCCCTTTATGTTATGGAGAACAGGAAAAGTATTTGAAGAGGAGCTCCAGTAATTTTTGTGTTTATTAAAAGTCAGCAGCAACAAAAGCTGCTGACCTAAAAGACAGACACTCACCTGTTCCAGGATCCAGCAATGTGCTCAACCCTGCCATTCCTTCCCTTGGTTTTCTCTCCCTGATGCCAGCATCTCACCTGTGGGTGCCCACTGCACATGTGCGATCTGTGCTGTGCATTATGAATGGTCCCGCAGTGTCAGAGCCTGGGCCTTCTGCGGTGAGAGGCAATATTTCTTCTTGCTGAGCCACCTGGAATGCTAGACAGCTCCTTTGACAATTATTTGGATGATCCTGCCTTGACCTTGTTTGTCATGAGCCTTGAAACCCTTGCTCCTCCCATGAACTTCCTGATATAAGCCATGTCTCTGCACTTCCTGTTTGCCAGATTATTGTGCTCTCCAGTCAGTATCTTGCTCCTTGCCTTCTCTGCTGTCATCCATATTTTTGCTACCACTCATTATTGACCCTTGGCTTGTTCTCGACTACGCTTGTGCCTGATCCCAACCTGCGACTGCTCTGCTCATTACTGACCTTGGCTTGTTTCGACTCGATCCCAACCTGCGACTACCGACCTTGGCTTCGACTGCCTGCCTGATCCCAACCTGCGACTGCTCATTACCGACCTTGGCTTGTTCACGACTACGCTTCTGCCTGATCCCAACTGCTCCTGGGACTGCTCATTACAGACCTTGGCTTGTTGTTCCGACTACAACCTTCTGCCTGATCCTGCCTGATCCTCAACCTGGGACTGCTCATTACCGACCTTGGCTTGTTCTCACACTACGCTTCTGCCTGATCCCAACCTGCGACTGCTCATTACCGACCTTGGCTTGTTCTCGACTACGCTTCTGCCTATCCCAACCTGCGACTACTCATTACCGACCTTGGCTTGTTCTCGACTACGCTTCTGCCTGATCCCAACCTGCGACTGATCATTACCGACCTTGGCTTGTTCACAACTAAGCTTTTGCCTGATCCCAACCTGCGACTGCTCATTACCGACCTTGGCTTGTTCACGACTACACTTCTGCCTGATCCCAACCTGCGACTGCTCATTACCGACCTTGGCTTGTTCTCGACTACGCTTCTGCCTGATCCCAACCTACGGCTGCTCATTACCAACCTTGGCTTGTTCATGACTACGCTTATGCCTGATCCCAACCTGCGACTGCTCATTACCGACCTTGGCTTGCTCTCGACTACGCTTCTGCCTGATCCCAACCTGCGACTGCTCATTACCGACCTTGGGTTGTTCACGACTACACTTTTGCCTGATCCCAACTTGCGACTGCTCATTACCGACCTTGGCTTTTTGACGACTACGCTTTTGCCTGATCCCAACCTGCGACTGCTCATTACCGACCTTGGCTTGTTCTCGACTATGCTTCTTGCCTGATCCCAACCTGCGACTGTTTATTACCGACCTTGGCTTGTTCTCAACTACGCTTCTGCCTGATCCCAACCTGCGACTGATCATTACCAACCTTGGCTTGTTCTCGACTGCGCTTTTCATGTTTTTTATTCACTGATGTTTTTTAATGTTGAGAAAAATATCATATGTGGCACAAGCAGGGGCGGACTGACCATTTGGAAACTCGAGCACTGCCTGAGGGCCCAGGGTCAGTAGGGGGCCCCATGAGATGCCCCTGGTACCTTTTTCATAGGCTTTTTTGAGTTTGGGCAAGGACACAGGGGCCCCATGATCCCCTATTACCCGGGGGCCCCATGAGTTGTCAGTCCGCCCCTGGGCACAAGTCATTTCTAAGAAGGCTTTAGTGAGCACAAATATGGAAGCCCTGATATGTAGAGTGGCTACAATAGTAGTGGTCTTATGTAATGTGTCTCCAGTCAATGATTGTCTCCTGTAGCATGTCCCAAGTCTCTGTTGACTCCTGTGGCCTTTTCCTAGTATCTCAACATCTCCTGTAGCATCTCTGCAATCTCTGACAGTTTTCTGTACCATTACATTCACTGAAAGTTATGTGTGGTCCCATGGTGATGTCAGGGGCCACACTTGAGGTCCACTATAAGTCAGTTGACAATCACTATGTTAGCATATATGGTGTCCTGCTATACAAAAAAAAAAAAATAGGCCAACCAATCGTCAACTTTAACCCCTTGGTTTTGGTGCTTTTGGCAGTGTGGCCAGGTGCCAAGTCCTGCTGGAAAATGAAGTCAGCATCCCCATAAAGCTCGTCTGCGGAAGGAAGCATGAAGTGGTCCAAAATCTCCTGGTAGACGGCTGCGTTGACCCTGGACTTAATGAAGCACAGTGGACCAACACCAGCAGATGACATGGCTCCCCAAATCAACACAGACTGTGGAAACTTCACACTAGACTTCAAGCATCTTGCAGTGTGTGCCTCTCCATTCTTCCTCCATACTCTGGGTCCTTGGTTTCCAAATGAGATGCAAAAGTTGCTCTCATCAGAAAAGAGGACTTTGGACCACTGAGCAACAGACCAGGTCTGCTTTTTCTTTAGCCCAGGTAAGACGCTTCTGACGTTGTTTGTTGTTCAGGAGCAGCTTGACAAATGGAATACGACATTTGAAGCCCATGTCCAGGATCCGTCTGTGTGTGGTGGCTCTTGATGCACTGACTCCAGCCTCAGTCCACTCCTTGAGAAAGTCCCCAACACTTTGAATGGCCTTTTCCTGACAATCCTCTCCAGGCTTGCTGCTTGTGCACCTTTTTCTTCCACACTTTTCCCTTCCACATAACTTTCTATTAATGTGCTTTGATACAGCACTTTGGGAACATCCAACTTCTTTTTTTGAGGCTTTCCCTCCTTATGGAGGGTGTCAATGGTGGTTTTCTGCACAACTGTCAGGTCAGCAGTCTTTCCCATGATTGTGATTCCTACTAAACCAGACTGAGAAACCATTTAAAGGCTCAGGAACCCTTTGCAGGTGTTATGGCTTAATTAGCAGATTAGAGTGGGACACTTTGAGCCGAGAACATTGCACCTTTTCACAATATTCTAATTTTCTGAGATTGTGGATTTGGCGTTTTCATGAGCTGTAAGCCATAATCATCACAATTATGACAAATCACAGCTTGATTTGAAAGCCCAGTTCTGTGAGGCTGCATATTTGTGTTACGTCGGCATGAAGGGGTTAGGCAGCTGTATATGATTTTCTTCAGAGCCTTTATGACAGTACGACTGGCTTAATTTACAAATAACCAGTAATAATATATTTTGTGAACTTTCATTTGACAGCAGTTTACTGAAACAAGGTGGTTTTGTTGAGGACACTGTCCCTTAGTCTCCATTCACACCTGAGCGTTTTGTAGCTCCAAGCTCCAAAATGCTCAGGGGGAAAAAAATAAATATTACTCTGTGGAGATGGTTCACAGCTCCACTCCAAGTCACCTGAAGCAGACACCTGAAAAAAAGTTTTGGAGCTACTCTTTTAGTTCAAATTGGGCAGATGTGCACATTTTTGGCACATTTATATTCTTACAGGAAATAATAGAAACGTGCAATTGGTGCATTTTTTGTGCATTTTAACGCGCGTTTTGTGCGATTTTTCTGCTCAAATGAAAATGTTTTTTTTTCAAAAAATAGTAATTATATATGAATAAATAAATGTAACATAAATAATAATTAACCCCTAACCTTAAAAAAAGGGTTAGGGTTGTTGTTATTCTTGTTGTTTGGTTGTTATTGGTTTGTTTGATGTTTTTTTCACTTTTTTAGGTTTTAGGGGTTAAAGTTATGGGTTAATTATTATTAACCTCCCTGGCGGTATTCCCGAGTGTAGCACGGGGTAAAATTTGAGTACCAAAAGTGGTAACCCCGAGCTACACTCGGGCTTACCCTGCGGCGTTGCTCAGGGAGTCCCTGCAGCACTTACCTTGTCCTTCGCTCCCACGATGTGTCCCCTGCAGCGTCCCCGGCCATCTCCTCCGGCCGATGCCGGCATCCGGCTTCTGTGTTCCGGTCCCTGTGACGTCGGGACGTACGGGCGCCGGAACCAGCGGCAAATTTGAAATTTTTTAAAAATGTCATTTTTTTTAAAATGACTATTACATAGTAAAACATTGCTGTTTCAATGCTTTTCACATACATTTTGTCCCTACTGCTTTGTCCTGTGCCCTGCCTGCATTTTGACTGTTCTTTCTGCCTGGAAACTTAGAAAAGTCCATGGCGTCCAAAAAGCGTCCCTTTACGTCAAAAGCGGTTTTAGACCAGCTAGAGAACAGCGATAGTAAATCAGAACCACTTGCAGAATTTAGTGATAATGATTCGTGGGGAAATTCGTCATCAGACACTTAAAACGATTTTGCGACTTTGCTCAGCGATGTGCGAATTTGCCTCTGTATTTCAAATTTCAGTGTTTTTGGTTTGATTATATTATTGAATTAAATTTATTATTATTATATTATTATTTTTTATGATTATTTATTAAATTATAATTTATGATTTGTGTTTCAAATTTTATCCTACCCTGGATGTTTACTAGACTCTTGTTCGGACAGATTTCAGTGAGTTATTCCTAAAAATTACAGCCTACAATAAAAAACTACATATTTCCATGCAAAAAAATGGTACCACTTTCAGCACAAAAAATCGGAAATAATCAGACCGCCGAGGAGGTTAATCTATTATTGCAAGTATTTATTTATGATTGTTTGTATTTATTTGTGTATATTTTATGTATTGTTATTATTATTATTGTAATTTTTTTTTTTGTTTGGGTTTAGGTGTTGTTTATTATTATTATGAATAATAATAATTACATTTTTTTTTAAGGGTCAGGGGGTTAAGGTTAGGGATTTATTATTATGTATTTATTATTACATAGCATTTATTTATGATTATTTAATTTTGTATTTATTTAACATTTGTTTATTCATTTATTATCACCCTAACAAAAAATAATTAATAATTTAATAATAATAAATTAATAATAATAATTAAAAAAAAAAGAAATAAAAGCTGATGGAAAAGCTGAAGCAAAAAAACCTAGCAACAAATGATGCATCAGATGATATTTTTCTCTGAGTAGCGTAATGGAAGGTTATAACCCCTATCAGATTTTTTTCCCAACTGTGTCTCATTGAGGAAACTTTCCTTCACCTCCTGTCACATAGCCACAACAGGAAGTGAGAGGACAACTAAAACTTGGGATTTTTCTTTACTTTTATTCTTGGTGATAATGGTAAACAGGACACTTAGTGCCCCTGTTAGGATCTCCCTAACAGGGGCACAGACATTAAACTGTGTTTACTATGCTTCAATTTGGGAATGAACGGGAAGCCTTGTACAGAGATATTCCTGTCCATTAATTCTGTGCAGCTGAGGCTGCAGAGAAGGAGATTGAGGGCTGTGTCCTCAATCTCCTTTCTCTGTCTCAAGGTGGAATATTAGAAGTCTGTTTAGACCACTGATATCTCACCAAAGCCCCCCCAATGGGGCTTCTGAAAAAATAATAAAAAATATTGTAAAAAAAAATGCAATGATTAAAAAATAAAATAACAAAAATAAAACACTACTAACAACGGGCCCTTGTATTCCGCCTCCGGGCTTGGATGAAAGGGCCCTGGCCAGGGGTCAGGGGGGCCCTGCAGGTTCTAGTTAAGCCTCTGGCTTCAAATGTAGTTTCTTATTATTTCTATATCAGGTACACTGCTTTCAGGTAACAGGGCTCACTATTGTAAATTACTAACCAGAGCACTGAAACCTGGGGGGTTGACAGGGTGGGTGGGTGTTCTTCTTGGGGGGGTCATTGTAGGAGGAGCATTGGGGTACCCCGAGAGTCTTCTTGGGGCTTTTTGTCTCGGGTTCCTTGGGGGTTGTAGGCGGCAGGGGGGTCTGGGAGGGTTGGGGATGGTTCTGTAGGGGGGTTCAAGTTCCATCTGGGAGGTATTTCTGTGGTATGTACCCAGAGGACACCTGTATACCATCTAATAGAGTCCAGCATGGGAGGTCCTTTTACGCCGGGGGTGGATGGCCTCGCTATTGGATATGTACACCGGGTCTCTGATGCTATGTTTTTCATTATGTATGGCTTATGAATAAATGTTTTGAGGTTAGCCTTTTTGGTGTGCAGCCTATTTTCTTCTCTTTTCGTTTTTTGCAGGGGTCTATTGTTGCTGGCATGCTGGAAAGTCTATTGATGATGGTTGCTGGGAAATCTGTTGTTGCTGCTGGGGGTCTACTGTTGCTGCGATGGTATTTTGTTGCAGAGGTCCATTGTTGCTGGGGGGGGGGGTCTATGCTGCTGGCTGCAAGGGACCTATTTTGCTGCTTTTCTTATTATCGTTAACAAATTCCATACAAATTACTTCGCAACGCAAAGTAATACTTGGCTCTATATTTTCTAAAAGGAGCAATACTGGGAGGTGGGTAAGGGGTGGAACCAAGGGACGGTGCTTGGAGTTGGATAGGGGGGGCAGAGACTAAAAGTGAGTAGGGGGAGTTCCTGCACCTATCCTCTGAGAAAAAAGAATGGGTTCCATTGGAGAGGGGGTTG